ACCATTTTAAAAGCATATATTGATCAGTGCCGTCGCTATGGCAATAGTTTTGTACTGGATTGACAGCAAGTAGAATGTAGCTTCTGAAACGCTTTATGTACCTACGTATACGGTCATCTTTTCGCTGAATGACCATTTGGTGACCTTACATACACATGATTTCTGTCATGGATAAACGATGACTTGAAGTATTGAAATTTGCAGAACATTTGCTTGCATATATCTCGATATTTCCGTCAAAGATCGGTCAATGCACACATTTAGAGTTGACGTACAAGCATTTGCTTACAACGATGTACTTTAGTACTTGAATTATGGTGATAAAACGTGGGAGTGCGTGGTAAAAGTTACCCAATACATACCAGTTGCACAATACCCCAGCAGTTCTACTCTCATGCTGATCCTGTTGTTCCAGCTCACAGGGTTGAAGCTGATGTAAGCTGCCTTGATCGGCCGGTCCAGAATGTGCCGCTTGGGGGTGTCACTGTCATCGTTGCCTTCTAATGTCTGGAACATTTATTTCAAAGAGCTATAGGCAAGACTCTTAGTTTTGTTTTCATGTTTTCAGGAATATCTGTGAGATAAACGTCCATGTGTAAAATCCATTAACTGTGGCAATGGTAACAGACACAAGATCGACATAAAAGCACCAGTATGAAAATTAGAAACGAAGGAGAAGACACGTTGATGAAGGTTAGACATCCAGGTAAACGATACTCGTAAGAAAATTCAAACTCTACTACTGGATCAGTTAACGGATTTATTTCCGGACGTTTCGAGTGACATCCATCACTCTTCTTCAGCGTCACAAATGAACAGAGAACCGATTCACTCTTATATACAAGTAACTAGAAAAACCGGTTAAACAACAAGGTCCATAAGAAGCTTTATCATGTAAAAGAACGGTTCACTCAATGTACAGGAATTAGAACTAGAAAAACCTGTTCAACAACCGTAAGAGTCTTTGTCATGTAAGGAAGGTTCCTATGGTAAGAACACCAACATCACCATCCCTTACATCGAAGGAGTATCGGAGAAACTGCGACGCATCCTCCAGGGCTTCAACATCGGCACCAACTTCAAACCCTATTCTACCCTAAGACAGAACCTGGTTCACCCCAAAGACCGCGTACAGAAAGGCATCAAGTCAGAGGTGATCTACAGACTCAAATGCGAGGAACCTAACTGCAATGACACCTACATCGGGGAAACCAGCCAACCTCTGAAGGAGAGATACAAACAACACTGCAGGGCTACAGCAAGCGGCTACTCTTCTGCTATCTACCATCACACCAAACACAACCAGGGACACTCTTTCAAGCTAGAGGCAACCGACATCCTCGACCGTGAACCACGTTGGTACGAGCGCGGAGTGAAGGAGGCCATCTATGAGCGCATTTACAACCCCACCCTGAACAGGAAGGGGACTGCGCATTGAACTCTCAAGCACATGGGATCCCGCCCTGCCACAGCCCAAGGGACAGTAACTTTTCCTATGGTAATTCTTACCATAGGAACCTTCCTTACATGACAAAGACTCTTACGGTTGTTGAACAGGTTTTTCTAGTTCTAATTCCTGTACATTGAGTGAACCGTTCTTTTACATCATAAAGCTTCTTATGGACCTTGTTGTTTAACCGGTTTTTCTAGTTACTTGTATATAAGAGTGAATCGGTTCTCTGTTCATTTGTGACGCTGAAGAAGAGTGATGGATGTCACTCGAAACGTCCGGAAATAAATCCGTTAACTGATCCAGTAGTAGAGTTTGAATTTTCTTACGAGAAGGAGAAGACACATTGGTAGTCACCATCATCTCTGAGACTACCATGTGGGACCGGAAAGATTGTTATTTCGTGTCTACTGTATATCGAGATATTAGCGTGCCACTATGTTTTTCACCATAGGTGTACATTTTCACACCGTTCAAAGGCCTCTTACAGCAAGTTTCTTTCCCCAGACTGCGAAATTATGGAACGCCCTCCCAAACACACGCTCCCCTCTTGAATTCAATCTACAAGCTTTCAAAACAAACATCCACCGCCATCTTCTGGCCTGTCAAACTACCGTCGAACCTACTTTGCTCTGTGCCTATTGTTTTTCCCATTGAGCAACACCGTTAAAAAGATTCATGGCACTGTACTACGTTTTGAAAAAAGTTTTCATTAAAAGATAAATTGATAGATGAACCTTACCACACGCCAGCCGTATTCGTCATTGTAATATTCCCATGTTTCCCCGTCCAGGCTGTAGGACAGATGGTACCCGGTCACCCACTCCTCACATCCGTGCTTCCCCTGAGTCACCACTCCCGTCACCACCATGTCTTCTCCCAGATATATCTGCAACCGCTGAGAAAAGCAGTGAAATACAAACTATTAGAAAAGGTAAATATAATTTCATATGCTCGACGTGTGGCTGTCCTAGCACATAGAACCTGTGCGCAATGTAGCGACGGACAAACAACAATGTCCTATCAGCCCTAATCGGAAATAGAAGCTTATTCACAACTGACTGGAGTGAAAAAAATCGAGTAACTTTTCTAATACAATATTGCATTATATGAGAGATTTTAACATAGAGTTTCTTGCAATAGGATACTAGGTAAACTCTAGCCATTACGCCACATCGTCATCAACGATTTGTAGCCTGGCGCTCAGACAAGCGTATGTCTGTCCGCCCGATTTTTTTGGGGCACTGCCCACACAGACAGGTCCATTGGCGCACTAGTCCATTTTTTACGGGGTCGGTTTCAATTTATTGGTCTACAAGGTCAAAACCAATTAGAAAAGCTGGTTTGAACAAATTAGCATGTCAGGAGAGTCCTATACTTAGCAGGGTTGTGGCCGGCAGTACACCACTGACCCGGCCTGTGGAGAACGGTAACTAGACTACTCCCATATTTCCCCGTCCTGAGCTGCACGTTTTGCCCTTTACCGTTATCGGAGGCAATCAAGCGTTTCCCACATGTTGACTTCGCTTGACTTGGCCATGCCGGCAGAGAGAAGGCGAGATGCAACACTTCATATGTTCTACAAAATCCAGAACAATCTCGTCTCCTCCGAGATGCCCCTCACTTCCAAGGGACGCAAGACATCAAACCCGTACAGAGAACAGTCAAGCCTTCTAAATACCCCCTCAAGAACTGACTACCACCTAAACTCATTCTACATCAAAACAGCACGTGAATGGAATACCCTCCCAGAATGTACTGTCCAGGCTAAAAACCTTGAAGCATTCAAGACTGCCCTGCGCACTACCACCGTTTATTTACTAAAATCAAAGCTACGGGTACTCGCCGCCACCCAGTAGGGTGACGGTCAGGGAGTGACGCCCCTGCCCATTGAGTAGCCAATGCCAGCCTTCAGCCAGCCACAACGACCTATTCCAGGATGATACCCTGACCCCGTGCCTGAGCCCTCAACTTAATGAGGTTTGGCAGTAGGATGAAGAGGAACATACCTACCTGATGTATATCGGAGTCTCCTGCCGTCCAGCCGCAGGTGCCGCTCCCGGTCCCCACGGCGTTCAGCCTGGCCTGGTGCCCGCCGTGAGACGGGTCGTTCCCGTACCGGGACGTGGCCTTGATATCCGTATCGGCGATTACTCCGGACGACATCCCAAGAGGATGAAAATACGCTAAAAATAGATAGTAAAGGTTGGAGTGATCTTCACTGTTACTTCGGGATACTGCAAGCAACAACAAAATAAAGGCGGTAGCTAGAATTCTTCCTTACCGGCATAGTCCAAAGTGTAAGACATGTACATCACTTGACTCCATCGCTTCTTGTTCTTTACCTGAAAGCGGAAAATTATGGTGGAATTATCATGAAGTTCATCTGTGTTGGTAGTAACATGTTTAAAGTTAAAACTTTTGTTCAAACACAAAAGCCATATACATCAGGGCCCATCACCCTACATTGAACCGCGACGGGGGTCGACATCGTCTACCAAAAACCTTTGACCCAGTGTTGACATCACACTTCAAAGAAGCCACGTGACAAGCTTCACTGGGTCAGTCTACTGAGGAAGACCAGAGTGACTGGTCGAAAGCTCTAGGTGAGAGAATTTTGTGTGTTGGAACAAAAGTTTTAACTTTAAACAGACACCCATGTTAATTATGAAAATGAATTGGTACATTCTCTTATAGCCAATAATCCATTCAAAATACTAGTATTGTACGATGTCCTATTGGAAAATACTGACCAGAACATTGTCCTTGAGGTGGACGGTGAGTTCCATCCCGCTGGCCGTGTCTCCGCTGCCGTACTGCAGGTCCCACTGGAGCTGCAGACCGTACGGTGTCCTGTACCGGGTACACTGCTGCAGGATGCCTTCTGTGTCAATGGCATAAAAGTAAAAGAAACAAAAGACATAAAGCAAGATTACCCAACAACAAAGGTGAAAGCCGCCTTGATTTAAGAGTAGAATAATTTTGGGAACTTTATTCATCTTTTCACAAGATGCTACATAAAGGTATTTGAGAGCTAACGTTTGTAATCCCAACTAATGCTGAAGTCACATTTCCGAACCGGGGCCGACCGGGCAGTCTTATGTAACGAAGAGTGTGATATAAAAGACAACAAAGCACAAAAAGTTGAAAAAATTAATAATGGGAAGTATTTGCGTATATCATTGATATAAATTGTTGACTTTTCGTTAATCGAAACAGCCCGGCCGGGCCCCGGTTTGGAAATGTGACCTCAGCATAGACAACATATGTAGAATCTATCTACTCATGTTTCAGCTGGCAGTGACAAATTACTGCTAGTTTCTATTCCAAAGTCATAGGACAGTAGAAATACAATATTTATAAAGAACGGGAGAATTCTGTAATCATTTATATGTTGAAAACGAGATACACTTTCTACTTGACTGTACATTATATAAAGATGAACGCCAAGAGCTATTCGATACTTTACAATTAGACAAGATATGTAAGAAAATGTCAAAGCAGGACATGTTTAAACACTTGATATCATGCAAGAACGAATGTACAGCAGACAAACTATGTAATTATGTTTCCAAATGTTTCAAAAAGAGAGAAGAAAGGGCAACTAACAGTAGATGATAGGTAGTTTATAGTATTGTTGTAATGTATAGATTCTTATCACTTTGCATTAGAATATAGCGTTTCAGTATGTAATACTCATGTTTTTACATACTGCATATCCTCTTGATCATTTAGCCCATTTGGGCAAGAACATGCAATAAAGATTCATATCAAGATTCATATCATTGTAATTAGAAGTCAAAAGTGTGTTGATCTGAGTAGGATGTTTTATTCCATACCGTTCTCGTTCTGCAGTGTTCTCTCCATGACGCTGAAGAGTTGCAGTGCCCACTGTGACGGCTGTCTCTGTCTGCAGCCTCCGTCGAAGAAGATGTGCGACTCGAAGGTTCTCTCACCGACCTGACTCTCCGCCAAAACACGTAATGACGTCAGGAGCTGTTCCATCTCACGTTCCGACTGAACAGAATAAAATGCATGATCAGTTTCTAGTGAAAATCTTGTCTTTACCTAAAGAAAAGAGACGTTTTATCATGCTCTTGCAGTTCTTCTGTTTTTTTTGCATTATGACAGTACTTTTTTTTGCATTATGACAGTACTTTATATATTTTGGTTATTTTGGTATGATGACAAATCATACGGGGTTTTGTATGTCTTAAACATACACTTCAAAAGATTTAAAATTGACAAAGAGCTTCATAAGACTAAGCAATACGAATCCTACACAAAATATAGATTTCAAACATTTCAGAAGTCCAACTCCTGCTTCCTCGCCAGATTCTATCATACCTCACCCACGTACTGTCTACCTAGTCTGCCTGGTCAAACAAATACACAGACAACACAACTGGCCCCCCCTTCATAAAATACAAATGAACAAGAGTTCCGAGATCTCATACCTCCATGAAATATGGGTTTGACATGTAAATGTAAATTTCTTCCTTAATATGCAAATGGCCTCTACACTAACATAATGAATGAATTGTGATGTTAATTTTTGATTAACTTACACATGTCCCAAGCATGAAATTCCCATCATTTACCACTAAGGAGTCATAGAATTTTCAGATTAATTATGCAAATTAGGTCCATCTTTGCATAATTGGTATCTGGTAATATTCCTCCTGCCATAGATTATAAACATCACATGTATCAAAGACCCATGATGTAAAACACCGGAATCACAGAATTTCCTCATTACTTATGCTTTGCAAATGAAGTCATCATTTGCATAATATGCATTGTATAATGTATATCTCTGTCTAAGCTGCCCACATGGCAAAAATCATAAAAATACATTGTTCCTTTATGAATTTATCTGGCCGGAAAGGTTTTGCCACCCCCCCCCCTCCCCTGCAGTTCCAGAAAAAGCCACTGGGGGACCAAACCCATATCACCTATTACTGACAGGAAAAGCTATTCACCACTCAAAATCAAGACCATAGCATGTCCAGGACAAAATATACAAAATTCGGAAGTTCTGCTGCAGTACCAAGGTCAGCCACCAGGAGGCCCAAAATTGACCATGACCTTTGCCTACCCAACACCTATCCACATACCAAATATCATTACAAGCCATCCAAATGTTCAAAAGTTATGCTGGCTACAAATGTGCGGAAACACAAACACACAGACACACACACAGACACACATACATACAGACAGACACGTCAAAAACAATACCTCCATTTTTCATGGAGGTAAGAACCAAACCTCATGGTACATAGTTGTACAGATGTAGACGTGAGTGTTCTGTTTGGTCTTTCTTCTCGTGGTGAAGTCATCCCCCTTCGTGTTCCTGTTTTTTCTACTCAGCAACATCCATTGTGCCGGGAACACACTGCTGTACCCGGGCAGCCAAAACAGCTGAGGACGACAAGATGATAAAAAATAAGTTTATTGCAAATTCCTTTATTGCAAATTCCTGTATACAGAACCGTGTCCTACATACTCAAATCCATACTCAGGCACCTTTTTTGATAAAGCACCTGTATCCAGAACCATTCCTGTATCTACGTTCTTGGATACGTGGAAACTACCAATAACCTCATCCTTACCCTTATGCTTAGGTCACATTTGAAACGGCGCCCGTTCGGCATGTCCTCGGCGTAGACGCCGGCCGGCGTCATGACGCCGAGCGTGCGCCGACTGTCAGGGTCACAATTAAATGTTCTTTTACGGCTCCCTGTCGGGGCCTGGTTGTGCTCCGGTCGGCGTTGAGGCGTCTTGTAATTAATATTCATAAACTTTTGGTCCCCTTGGCGGCCGGTTTCTGTCAGGGACCCGTCCGGTACCCGGTCAGTCTCCCGTCTTGACCCGTACGGCGTGTGGTAGGGTGCCGACCGGCTCTTACAGTTCGGTCGGGCAGCTGTCAGGTCCCTGGCGGGGTCCAGGGGGATCCCGACGGGCTCCTGTCGTGTACGGACACTGATGACGGAGCTTTGTCGCGAACATCATTGCGACTTTAAGTCCTTCCTGCGAATGGAACCACTGATGTTTCACAACCTCCTACAACGTGTAGGCCCATCCATCGAGAAAAGTCCAGAGCAAGTGCTTTTTTGATGAATGCCCTCTACTTCTTGACACATTTCAATGTATCCATAATGATTTATAACAGAAAATTTAGATATTACAGTCCAGTCTGTATGTAACACTTCTTTTTAATTCTATGCAGTGCTAAACAGCCCTTGTCATGCTTAGGTCACATTTGAAACGGCGCCCGTTCGGCATGTCCTCGGCGTAGACGCCGGCCGGCGTCATGACGCCGAGCGTGCGCCGTACTGTCAGGGTCACAATTAGATGTTCCTTTACGGCTCCCTGTCGGGGCCTGCTTGTGCTCTGGCCGGCGGCTCTCATTAATATTCATAAACTTTTGCGGCCGGTTTCTGTCAGGGACCCGTCCGGTGCCCGGTCAGTCGCCCGTCTTGACCCGTGCGGCGTGTGGTAGGGTGCCGACCGGCTCTTACAGTTCGGCCGGGCAGCTGTCAGGTCCCTGGCGGGTTCCTGGCGGGATCCCGACGGGCTCCTCTCGTGTTTTTGAGCAGGTACATATATAAGCGCTGCACTGCCTGCTACCGTTCACTTCAAGTAAAGAGTACACGTCAAGTAAAGAGTAGACTGAAGTTGGCGATGTAGCGTTCAGTGCAACCTGCAAACAACTTACAAGCCCGTCTGAGATTGAGATTGGTGACAACCTACATGTAGGTCTTCTGGCATTGGTAGCTGAAGAAGAGAGGCAGGCAGAACCGGTGCGTCGCAAAAGTAACCGAGGGCCTACTTTCGAAAGTACTTCAACAGTGACGCAGGAAGTACTTCAGCAGTGACGCAGGAAGTGTGCCGTGACAGCTCCATGCTATTGAGCAATAAAACCACTGAATATCGTTACTTCTGTTGAAATTTGGTCTGAAAATAAATGCCAATAACTTCTGATTCCATTTTATTACGAAGGCATATTATGTAACAAGAGATAATGTCAGACACATTCTATTCCTGTTATGATCTGTTTTATGAAGTTGGCAAGAGAGCCGTGCCGGCTGTTTTCCCTTGCCCTTCGACATTCTGACACACAAATACAAGGTGTAACACACACAAGTACACGATGTAACACACACGTGGTGAACTGTGCGACGTAGTCTGAGGCAGGAGTTTATATATGCTCCCTATAACCCCCTTTTCCTGACCATCTGATGCACTGATCAGCACATGTGACGTCATAATCTTAGGCAGGTG